GTGTACATTACTTTTCGGCAGAATCGGAGAATCTGCCGAAAAGTAATGTACACTTATCGATTTTGAGAAACTGAGAATCGCGAAATAGGGAGAAACCCGAGGAAAAAATACCAATCGATTTCGCGCGAGCAGCTCAAAAGGACAATTAGAAGAATGGATTCGTGCGCCTCCTTTTCACGAATTCTCAGTGGCAAGATTCTCCTTGGGCCACAAATCTCCAACGCGATGCGGGGTATGAACAAAGTCCCTCCTTTTGGTATAACCTTCGAATTAAGCCTTCTAGACACCAGAATAAAAATTAAGCTTACAGAAACAGAAAATGGGACTTGAAGGTAACGTCCTTGTAAACTAAAAATCGAACTGTACGAGCGTAGAAGTTTACGCCCCTGGAAAATTAAAAACGGATATGTAGAAGAGTCCCCGAAAGACTTAATCCTGAAACGCCTGAGACAGAGGCCGGTTCAGCTTGAATCGTTACTGGGTGAGCGAAATATAATCTTGATACTATTAGTTTTTAGCCTATCCTATGAAATTAGCATTTTTATTGGTCTAGCCTCGACGCCCTTATTTTAGGCAACCTCAACCACAGCATCCACATCGATGGGTAGCCCGCTTAGACTTAAAAGCGTTCAGCTTAATAAACCAGTTTCTATGTTCAAACCACGACAATTTTCCAGTGAACCAAAACAGTTCCCTCTCGACAATTCCAAATTTTCGAGAAAAAAAAACTTGTAGTGCTCAATATAAAAACAGCGTCACAGAGACCCAATTTTGTTCATTTTGGTATTTCTACGATAAGGGACCAACGAGCTGAAATAATAAATAAGGTAAATGCCACGAGAATTTCGAAAATCAGTAAAGTAACCGGGAAAGCGATTCAAATGCGTACGGGAGATATCGCGCTCAAATCGCAATGCGAAGACGCGTGCGAGCGGCGCGCTTCTGACGAAAAGAAAATCCCGATGCACTTGGCGAAGTGATGAACGCCTTCGATCGGTTGTGTTTCTGTTTCGGCTTCAAGTAGTTCTTGCGTTTCTCTTCCCTCCATAGTTGTACGTGTTTTGCGCTTAGCAGTTGCTTTTCCTTACACTTTATGGTTTCTGCGATGTTGCGATGGCATATGTCTCACACTTGGCGCATTCACAAGAGAGATTCGGCAGGCCGATGAGTCGTAGCAACCGTAACCCAAGTTGTGATTGGGGCGCGGATTCGGATTGGAGCACGCATGATCCTGGCCTGGAGTGAGTAGCTGGCCTTCCAAAGAAGGTTGGTCTGTGTGGTACTCAGGGTGAACAAGTTTTTGTAACTTGTGATACTTGGCATATTTTAGAATAGATTCTCCTAGATAGAGAGGACCTCTCGTAACGTGGTTCCTCATCACTTTAGCTTCTCTGCGAAAGACTTAGCATACAGAGTGAAGAGGAACTTCTGTCATTTTGTCCCAAACGAGCTATTCTAAATTGATGTTTATTAACCAAATGGAAGTAATGTTTTGTACATAATGCTAAGCGCATTGGTATCGTTCTAGAGATGAAGTAGTATGATTACACAAACATCACAAATTTTACATTTACATGATTACATGACGTGATAACATGAGCACGACAAAGCAAGAAATTTACCAGTAGTCCGACTTTTATGCAGAATGAATTAAACTCTCCAAAGTTGGCTCCCGAACCCTAGGGCTACTACGGAATTTATGTTTATCATCCAAAATGAAAGGAATACTTCGTACATTACGCTTCAATTCTTCTAGAGGTGATCACCTAGCATCGTAACATTAACAAGATAAATTCACACTGTATGACGTGATATGTGCACAATAAGAGCAACAAATTTACCAGTAGTCATTTTGGCTTTTTTGAATACACGTATATTTGATTACCCTGGGAAGTCGACTCAACCTTATCACTTGAAACTTACAAACAGTACGAAAAACGAGATCAAAAGCAACAAGAAAGAAAGAGGAATTATTCCGGTAGTATAACAAACTCTGTAAACAATAACAATTATGGGGGAATGATTCCCATAGTTTAACAAGCTCTGTACACCATAACAAATAAGGGAAATATTCCAGAAAACAACTACACAAAAATGATGAGGGCGAAAATTTGCATCTAGACTAACACTCGCTGTATTCCAAAGTTCCAAAACTACAGATAGTGCACTTACTATTCAATATAGCACAGTTATTCAGATGGCTCCACGTGTTGCAAGAGGTACATTTCAACCAGTATACGTCATTGCTATCACTACTAAGTGGATTTTCCAAGGAACAATATCCACAAACTCGTACATCCGCGATCGCGTATTCTTTGTGTGTTTCAATTTTTGCCTTCCGTTTCCTCCGGTTCAAAGAAGACGTCTGAAAAGTCATTTGAAAAAAAACCGAGGAAAAATTCTAGGAAAGGATATCAGCTCAGTCTGCATTCTAATTGGTTTGGCATCTGCAGCCGCAGGACCTCTCATCGGAAGTTCAGGACGAGGTGCGATGACGTGCCTCTTCTTTGCTACAGGGGCGGTTATAGAAAGCCTTCCTTTTGCGACGCTTCGTTTCATGGAGGCAAGCGCTTCATTCAGAAACTCTCCTGTTTCCTCACTCGAATCTGATGCAGCGCGTAGCATTAATGAGTGAAGAACGGCGTATTCCTTGTAAAGTAGTCGTTTCGCCCAATACTGCTTTATAAAGGCATGTGAATTCTTTTGAAAATACCATCTCGATTTGTTGAATCAGCTCCTTATTCCTATCAGACCGGCTTTGAGCAGACACACTGGAGGGTTGAAATCGATTAGTCGACGGTATGTCGAGAGCGGCATCCGGAGATCCAATGTCGACGCTGCTAGCGAGATTCTCCATTGCTCCAATGTTTGGAAGGCGACCTTTAACGCATGATGCTTCATACAGGATTATGACATCATTGTATCGTCCTACCTTGCGATGCATATAAGTTAACAGCGTGGATGTGCATACAGGAGATCCCTGCCTTACGATCCTCATCGCATTCGCAAAAGAACGAGTACGGACAGGCTGAGCAACCGGGTTTGCGGCAGTGATTTAGTTCCTGCACAAATGATTCTGCAGCAGCAGTCACGGGTAGCTTCTCTGGTGAGTACCTTCGTACATGGACAACGTTCTTCCTCCACCATGAAGAACGTGTCGGACTTATGCGAGCGCACTTTCCACAACCCAGGCTCCACAACATGGATTTGTTCTCGCATGTTCCCATAAATACTGATCGCCTTGTTGTGGCTAATGTGGTGATTCTGGAGACGCCATCGACCTTCCACAAGACCTCTTTGCTCCTGAAAAAAGCTGGTTTTACCAAAAAGTGCTTTGGACATCAGTTGGAACAAAACTTACTATCACTGCAGCATCGTCCTTCATTTCCTTCACTGTCGTGATAAGAGCATCCACCAGCTCGTCTATTCTTATTTTGCTCTTGGAGCAGAACACTTCCCTTTTAAGGTGCTTGTGCCACCTTTCGCACATCATAGATGTATTCATCACCGCACCTTTCCTATGGTGGGCACCCCACTCCTCTACTCGTTGAGTCCTGAACGTACATGACAAGTTTTAAAAATTCAGCAGTGAAAAAATTTACCAGTTTCGGTGTAAATAGTCGACTAAATTGTGTTGGCTCTCGTTCAAAAGGAACGTTAAAGTATCTCCATATCTTTTCGTGAAAATTACTGGTTTGCATGATCTGCTGACTAGACGAATCCTTGACATGAATTCCCCAAGCAACGACGGCCAAAGGAAGGAGATGATAGAAAAGCGCGTTTCGGGCTTGTATTGAGTAATGGGTCCCACCTTCGTCAATTTCTTCCTAGCAGAACGCTTGAAAGCTTGCAATACGTGCCAGTTACAAAGTATCTTCCGCGTGTGAGCATTAGGAAACACACGAAGAAATGCATTGTGGAATGATGCAGCGTCGTCGCTCATGAAAAAATCGGGCGCAAACGCGGGAACCAATTCTTTCACTTTATCGAACAGGGTAACAAGTTCGCTCTCGCTCATCCTACAATACAGGTGTCATCTAGTAGTGCAGACCAAGCAGAACGTTGTGTTTTTACCTGAAACTAAGCATGAAAGCAGCTGGAAGTGCTCTGTCACTGTGATCAGCTACGATGATTGTAGCAAGCCGTAGCTTGTACATAGACACGTTAAATGTATCGTCGATTCCAATACCTCTTTGCGAAAAGTCTGTCAGCCATTTCCGTTGCGTTTCATTGATTATGACTGAAAAAGCAATGTAATATGCGCGAAAGTTATGCATGAACTTTTAGACTCACCCAGGCAAAATCCATCGCCGGTGTCATTGAGACTAGGAGCATAGTAGCGGATTCCAGTCGCTAACATTTCTTTCACCAATCCGCTTCTCTAGAGAAGTTAGTCATTCAGGTCGCGCCGCCCGGGGAATAGATTGTTCCGCCTACTGATGGCCCTAAATCATAATGATGTTGGAACTGAACGAATGATCTTATAAGAAAAATCGAACGAGTGATATAAATATGGTGCAGTCAAACCGTATGTCTCCAACTGTAACGAAAAACAGGCGATTCTCCGTCCTACTGATTTCAGTTGAGTTTCTGCATCTTTCTCTTATCTTCTGCTTCACTTGCCCATGATTGAACCCTTCTTTCAGCATATCCACGATTAACTGTTCATTGTAATTGTCTAACCATAGAAGAGCGGGATCGGGCTCATGTCCCACATGTGCAAGGCAATATTCAACATGAACTTGCGCAGAAGTAAACTTTGCCTAAAGCAATTTGATTATTTATTTCTGAATAACTAATCAGCGATTGTGCGGTAAATTACATTTATAAACGCGGTACAATGGCTGACTGAACGTTTGCAAGTGTTTGTCGAAGCGACTGAAAGAAGGTGATGGCCCTGATCGATGACATCTGTAGTATACGCGAGTAACAACCCTTTCCTATTTTCTTGCTGCGGACTACGAAGGATGTTATGGATGCATCCTGCGCCAGTTTCATCCACTCCTAAGAACATGAATTTCCTTGGCAATCTTCATATTGTGAATCTCATTCCAAAAAAAGCTCTAACCTCGAAATCGCCTTTGCTATCGAATGATATCTTGCTTACGTTGTACCCCTCGTCCATGCAGTGTAACATCGAATAGTGCTTCACAAGTTCCTTCAGATCCCGAACCGTACCCTCACACTTTGGACATTTTACGCTTCCGTTTTCTGCATATTTCCGGCCATTTCGTAAGAAATTTTGTCAAGCACTAATTCATCCTGTCACCTGGTTCGCATGGTGGCTGTTCTGGGCAGCTTTTTCTATGCCAATGCAGTGAATTTTTCAGTGAGAACTCCATCTCGCAATTTTCACAGCGGAAAAGGATGTTGTTCTCTTCCACATTGCCCCGTTTTCTAATTTCGTTCCTTGACCATTTCAGACGCTCCAGCTGTTCCTTCGTATAATCGTGGTATTTGAAGAGATGGTCATACAAACTGCGTTTGACTTCCTCACCACACAAGAAGCACTCAGACGGCGATGGCATATCTGAAAAATGCACTGAGTGATCTTTCACTGCCCGGTCGTTCGAGGAGAACATCTCAGAGATAAAACACAGAGTAAAATTCAATCTCCCCCTTTTTACTTTGACACTGTAGACCATTTAACCACTCCTACTCATTAGAAAGTGAACTCTTATCAGGGCACATGGTTGTTGGAGATTCCTCAACCGGTAGGATTGTATTTGGTCGCTGGGAGAGGGGAGTCGCATTTGCGTTCTGATCGTCTGAGAGAGGTCGCTGACTTTTCGTGGTTGTTACTGTTTCATAAGTGCTACCCCTCCCCCCTCTTCGGCAGCTCGAATAGGGAGGGAACCAGGGGGTCGTATCACCCCCGTACCCCCTCTACCCCAGCTCGAATAGGGAGGAACCAGGGGGTCGTATCACCCCCTAGAAAAAAAGTGGAGGGGGACGTGTAGACTAGACTTAAATCGCTGACTAAAGATGGCCCCTGATTCTTATGGTTTTAACAGAACGGTTTCTAAGAAGTAAAAAAAATCGCATTTTGCGAGGAAATTGTGAGGAAGACAAGCCCTCAGAAAAAAAACACTAGATGATAATGTATAAAAATCAACCTTTCAGCTTCCAAATTAAAGAATTTATGTAACTAGCAATTGTGAACAGTTGAGTTGAACCTGGAATAAAGGTCAGCACGCTATACACCACATATTAAGCAACAAAATGGGGTTCTCAATAACTCGGATCTCAAATGAGTGAAAGTCGTACAGCTGATTCTTTTAGAAAAGGATATATTATAGGTACCACAGGGAAAAAGTTATCACAAAAACAAGGCAAGGGAGAGGACCAGCTCATGCGTGCTCCAATCCGAATCCGCGCCCCAATCAACTTGGGTTACGGTTGCTACGACTCATCGGCCTGCCGAATCTCTCTTGCATTCTTTGTTCGCTCTCCTTCTTGTGTGCGCGAGCAATCTCTTGTAGCAGTTTCTCTGGCTGTCTACAAAGACCTCATTTTTCGAAGTCCTATTCGGATTACCTTTTTGTTCGTTCATGTGATTTCTCCGTGCTTCTTTTACAGTCGATTTGTTTCAACAACGATTTCTCATGGGAAATAGTTTCAGAGAGAAAATGGGTGATATGGAGGACTCGATCAAACTTGACGATGATGACCTCCTGAGCACCACAGGAAATAGTGTGGCTGACATGGCTGTGAGTCATGACTTTAAAAAGACTTTTCCCTTCCGCGAAATTCGTTATTGATTAAATGGTTCAGGAGTTATCTTCCATTGAACAGCAAATGGAAGAGTTCGAGGAAGAGCAGAGGAAAATAAAACAAATGCAGAGCGACATCGAGGTAGGTCATATCTTCTTTTATTTTCGAAATGCAGTGCACTGCTATGACCTCGCCTCAAATTTATCTTGTTTAGGGTCAAATGAATCTTCCAAGAAGTAGCAACGGTACCAGTAGCCCTGCAGTTCTTACTCCAGAAGAAAAAGCAGAGGCGGATTCTCGTTCGGTTTATATTGGAAATGTTAGTGGCTTTTCTACATTTTTTTTACTTTGCAACTTCATGTACTACATTGTTCGGGAGCGGGGGGGGGGGTGGCAAGCAACAGCGCATCCACCATTCTTCTACTCGGGGTTTGGCCTATCGCAGCGCGGCAGCTGGCCAGTCACCACAGTTCGCAAAACAGGCATAGTAAGGCCGCGTTCATTTCTCGCGAAAAGAAGTATCGAAGAATTGAGAAAACCGCGAAGGGAAATGTATACGTATCGATCTGAAGGGTTGACGAATTCAAGAGTGCCGTAATTTGGGAAACTGACGATTGGTGGAGTGAGAAGAACCGATGAGTTGTGGAAATGGATCGACATAAGCATATTCCTCTTCGCGGTGTCTTCAGTTCCTAAATTCTTCACTGTCGCAAAGTATGAACGCAGTCCAAGAGTGTTCATACTTTGCGGCAGCGCGAGCGATAACCGATACCTATACTTGGTCGCTCAGATGCTCAAAACGCTTTATCAATACCTATGTTTTCCTGGCGCTGAATGCTGACAAAAGCCAAAGCACTGCCGCAAAGTATGGACGCACTCTGACGCTGCCACACCCAGTTGAAATAGGACCGTTTCCTCCCACCGAACTACACTGAAACCCTTTACTCTCCACTCCGATGCTATATCGCTGCATTATTCCATAATGGGCGCTTATTACAGGTCGACTACAGTGTTACTGCTGAAGAGCTGGAGAAACACTTCCACGGGTGCGGTTCAGTGGCACGTGTAACTATTCTGTGTGACAAATATACTGGTCATCCCAAGGGGTATGTTGCTTTCCGTTTTGCTCTACTAAACAACAAATATGGGGTTACTTTTCTTATTTTACATTCATGCCTGCCAAATGATTTCCGTGTGTTTCTGAAACACGGTTTATCAGACTGCGTTCATACTTTGCGGCTCGGAAGAGGCGATCTGTGAATTGCTGTTCGAGAATAAGCGCTTCGCGAGAATCCACAGGCAATTCGGATCAGTGTCAAAAACGCATATTCTCTCTAATGCCTATTCTAACGCCGAATCTTCCAAAACGGTAGTGACGAGCGTCGATCGATACCTACACTATCCTTGTCGCTTAAACCGCAGATTTTCCAAAGAAGCCGATTCCCTCAAAGCGCCAGGCCGACACCTACATTCCTTACGCGCGTTCCTCACAACGCTGATTCTCCCGGAACTTCGATTCTTCCAAGTCGTAAAGAATGAGTGCGGCCTCAAGGAATCAGGACCTTATTTTTGAGAGTTGCAAGCCGCACATGTGTGTGAATCGCTCCTCCGCTTTGGACGCTACGAGTGTTTCTCGTGAAAAAAGCCCTTTTAGTCCTATCGACTGGTTTCAATGATATAGAGATGGATGATAATATTAAAAAGAATGTGTTCGGAAACCAGTCAAGAGGAGAGGGATGCAAAAAAGACAAATGCTGCAGCAACCTGAAACTTTCCGCTCTTATTGTTGCGCGTGTCTCTGCGACCTTGTAAATAAATGCTCTATATATCTAAGAAAATTGGGTAGTTCATCAACACCGACTTCACTTTTGGTATCTAAACGGTTCAGTTTTACTTGTCACCTCACTAAAATGCAAAAGGAAGCTTTCTCTGGGAAATATGAGCTCAAAACCGTCGTGTTCCTAAGCCGATTGTTTCTATTGTCATGTTCCAAATGCACTTGAATATCGTTTCCGCACAGCTGCAGAGTCAGTAAAAGTACACTTTTTTGAAAAAATCTTAAGTGACACCATCAAATATGTTGTCTGGTTTTTCATCAAATATGTCGTCTGGTTTTGTAGCTGGCCGTGTTACACTTCATAACCCTTGAGCATGAGAGAAAACATTCAAGGATTTTTTTGATGTTATGGGATATCTTGTTTGCGTTTTTTTTTCAAGTATTTTCGTGTTCTGTAGCTGCGTTAGAATAACCCAAGGCAAGGTGACAAGCTAGGCTTTTATAGATTTTTGAATCTTTCCTCAGATTTCTAGATATCTGTAAGATTTATTATCGACTCTGCTCTTGTAATTATTGTCTTACCTGTTCAGATTTGCGTATGCAGAGTTTGCCGATAAAGAAGGAATGCAAATGGCTCTGGCAATGTCGGATAGCCTTCTCAAAGGAAGGCAAATAAAGGTGCTGATTGCTATCTTTTTCGACAATACTGTTGTAGTACATTAATATGCTTTACTACGTAATGGGTTCTTATCAGGTGATGGAGAAGCGTACAAATCGTCCCGGTATTTCTACTACGAATCGTCCGCCTCGTGGACGTGGTTATCGTGGGCGAGGTGGTTTTGGAGGTGCTCCTCCCGGTTACATTATCAAGTATGTACCAGTGGGTGGATATCGCCCTCGTGGCGCACGCGGTCTCCGGTGAGTCCTTATTCGCTCAACTGGCTTTTTAGCTCAATTTTTTTCAATTTTCTCAAGCTATTTTGTCTACGCCGACGTAGTTCCGGGGAGGGGCACGCAGCGGTGCGGCTCTCTGCTCTGTGAAACGGGGCCAACAGCACCCTCTGTCGCCTGCATTCTGCCAAACGATGGTCTCTGTTCACCCCCGTTCATATTTTGCGATTCCGGAAAATAGGAGATTACGAGAATCGACCTATTGGCAGTATGCCTACTATCGAATAGTGAAGATTTCGATCTGTGATTCGGAACAATGGGGAATCAGCTTATTGGAGGAGTGCTCACCCGAGGAATAGATGGGAATCGGTCGCTTTCGGTCACTGACCACTAGGGAGAGCAATACCGCGTCAGACTTCGTGATCGCGCGATCACATAGCTCAACTGGATCGCACGACCATGACGAGAGGAGCGCACCGCCGCCACAACGTTCACACTCAGTGCTGATTTGAGCTGTGCCGTTGCGACCGTGCACCGTTTGGCAATGGAACGCCCCGGCCGTAGTTGCGCGATCTCGAAGTCTTAATGCGGTTTGAAAGGATCGGTGAAACGCGCATTCTCTCAATTCCCCACTGTCATATTGTCCTGTGTTACATTATACGAACGCACAGACGGGGCGGTTCGGTGATGGGGAGGGGAGGGGCATTTTGCCCTTTCGATGCTTCACTCTTCCGATTTACATGTCTCACTCTGGTGAAACCTGTGAACTCTTGTGAAGCTGGAGCAAGCTCGTTGAGCCACCATGGTAAAACCTGTAAGCTCACGAAATGGCTCTCTAGAAGGGTCAGCACGTCGATGGGAAGTAACAAAAGTGCAAAATGCCCCTCTCCCCCACCGCCTCGTCGCCGAACTGCGCCAACAGACGCTCTGCCACGTTTCGCACCCCATCCCTGAACTACGTTAACGCTTGTCAATAGCAACGCTTGCTTTACCAAATAAAATGTAAATTTTCAGTCGTCCTCGTGGATTTCTTCCTTACACGTGAGTGGACTATGCCAGGCTCCGTTTCGCGTTCTTTGTGTTACATTTTTTTGCATGCAATATGGCAATATATTTGCTATTTTGTATGAATTGTCAATGTTGACATGCTGTAATTTATTGGTGGTTTTCCTTTCATCCATTTCTTTTTCTTCCATGTGCGCAAAGCTGTAAAGCAAGCTTGGTTAGTGCTGAAAGAATGCTTATGGTTTTTCTTCGTTTTGTAGTACGCTTATAAATGCTCTGACTAACCCCATATTTGTCGTTTTATTAGGTTCCAGTTTTGATTTTGCAGGCCGGAGTATGATGTGACCTCACCAGAGGCGCGGGCAGACCCTATGTAGACCCCCTCCGCAAAGTTATCTGTTTTGTTGGAATGGTTGTACAATCTGTCGCTCAGTATTTGTTGTTATAGTTGGCTAAGTCGAAGTGGAGTTGCTTGTTGTAAAATTAACGAGTATCTCTAACGATTTCTGTTTGTTGTTGGTTGTCTTCACGAGAATTCTTACTGTGAAGTGCATGGTAATTTGTATTGCCTATTGGAGGGGGTCATGGAACTGTCAGCGCCGTGTGATCGTCGTGGTTGCGTGTATGCATGCACATGCTGTACGGCTTTTGGCACGTCTGTTTGGTGTATTCGGTTTCCGTTTACTCTCTCTATTTTCGTGTAGCTGAGGTAGTTAAAGATATCTTCTTTTATTAAATGAAATACGTGCATACACTGATCTTGTTGTCTCATTAATAGAAAATAAATTGTCGAGAAAATTATTTCATGCGATTTTCGGTTCCGTAGCTGTAGAGAAAATCCGGCTGTTTCACCTGTGTTAAAGGCACGTCTCGCGTTCAAAAATGACAATCACCCGACTAAAATACTAGAGAGAGGATGCTAAATAACAGTGAAGTAAAAAAATAAACAGAAAAACCTGCCTGGAATCGCTCATGGAGAACCCCGTGCTGAACCGCGCTTGTCGAAGAAAGGGCGCGGTCGGACTAGTTCTCACTTGCTGGTATCAGCTCTTTACCGTTGTCGCCTCACTCTCATAAACTGAAATATTGCAGAACGACAGCTTCACCAGGAACCTTTAGCTAGGACGTTGCAATGGGCGGTGGGCGGGGTGGTGGCTTCGTC